ACCTTTGGGTCACACTGCTCGTCCTGCTCCACGAGTCCCACAGGCTCATCTTTTTTGTGCTCCTGGATTTCAGGACCTCCCTTTTTCTCCGCCAAAGGCTTTGCCTCATCTGCTGTAGTTCGCTCGGTGTCGACTTCCGGCGAACTTCCAGACGGCAACACTTCTCCCTTCATGGGAGTGGACCCATCATTGGAGTCCTTTGTCACACCTTCTGCAGCAGGCAAATTTTCTTCCACTGCAGGGCGATTGAGTTGATCATCCACGGCAGGCATACTTTCTTCCACCGCAGGCTCCTTTGGTTCCATGGTTTCCAAAGGAGAATTGCCACCATCGTTGACCACAGCTGCCTCATCGGCTCCGGTGTAGCCCTTGCTATTCCGTTCCTCGCGGCTAACTTCAGGTTGCACCAGTGCGTCCACCTGTGAACCTCCATCATCAGCTGCTGCGGAGACCTGCGCCCCATTGTTGCAGTCACCCGTGGAACGTAACACCATATGCACCTCAACCCGTGCTTCCTTCGCACTCCAGGTACTATCTGGCGCATCGACCCGCGCAACATTGGCGCTCCAGGCCTCATCTTTCAGATCTTCCGTGTCTCCAGCTATTCCAGAAGCTTCTTTTTCCCCTTGAATGGCAGGAATTTTGGCACCAACCGAAGAGACCTCCTCAGTCGCAACACACGACTTTTTCCCTCCGTCTTCCGAATCTCCAGGACCACCTTCCTGAACGACAGGTACCACATCCACCACTCGCTCTTCTGCAGCCGACACAGTTCCGATCTCCACATTGGGAATTTTTTCTTCTGGACCTACCGATTCCACCGCTGCCACACCCTCAGAAAGTGCTCCCATTCCTTCCCGATCCAGATGTTGAGCTCCAGCGATGTCTGCTCGGTTTCCAGGAATCTCCTCCTCATCAGGAGAACCCGAGGTCGGGGCGTCACCACCAGCCCTAGGACCGCTATCCCTGATAGTAGAGGAAAAATCTTTTTCACCTAAACTATTTACACTACCCTGGAATGCCCTCGTAGACTCAGTCTTCTCAGTCTTCGGAGTAGAGGATGAAGAACCCAGTGCCGCCTCCATTTCCAGCTCATTGCCCGAAGGAGACCCAGCCACCTCGTCACTCTTCATCTTTTCACCTACAACCGGCAATGTCCACTTGCTTTCCTGCGTATCCAGGCAGTAATAATATTGTCTCCCATCTTCATGGAGGTGCCATTCCCACATTGTGCCATCACACGCTCGGATCAGATGCTCATCTTTCCGAAAACCATCCCTTTCAGAGACCTGACGCATCTCGTCCTCTTCTTCTGACAACTGTCGCAACCTCTCAGCCTCCATCTGTAGGATCTCCTCCTCCCCCATGGCGTATTCAGCAGCAGGTGCAGCTTCAAAGCTGTCCGCACCCTTCTGTTCGTGACCGCTTCCACCACCTTGGGAACTCGAAGATGGATCCCTTTTGATCTTGTTCAGAGGCCACATGGCCGCTTGCAGCACTTCTCCAATCAGATCGGTCTGAGACCCTTGGTCTACCATTCGACCCGAAGTCGAAGTCGACGGCTGATACCCGTGTTTTTGCAGCACTCGTAAAACAGTCACCTCCATTTCACGATCTATACCACCAGTCGCGTCCCAGTTCCTTTTTTCACCAGGCTTTGGCGATACAGAGACAGCACGTCCTTCAGCTTCAGTATTGCTAACCATATCCACATTGGGATTCATACCCACATTGGGGCTTTCTGCAACCAAGGCTTCTTCCAGATGTTCTTCAGCGCCGGGAATCACTTCTTCCAACACCGATCTTCCACCCAGAGACTCAGCTGCACCATTTCCAGCTCCACCATTCTGTCCACCATCCGAGGCAGGTTGGAGCCATCGCTTCGGAGAAGGCATTGCTTCTTGATCCCAAAGATCTTAAGACAACACTCAACCGCAGGGAACCTAATTTGGGCTCATAACCTACGGGGGCAACCGAAGGGGAAAGGGGAAAGAAACCAACCCTTAACAGTTGCCTATATGGATTTCCCAGATCGAACCAGTAAGAGAAGAATCCCACCCTAGAGGGAAAGGCTAAGGGAGAAGGGTCGGGACTACTACCTCCCACAAGACCCAACACCCAACACACGGACACAACCTTTTCAACGAAAAGCGGACGGCTCGGGGCCATCTTGAGCCAAATATCCGGGTTCATTGACCCATCCAACCCTCAACACTAACTCCTTTCTACAATACCAATTGCAGCTCCGCACCCTAAACCCTAAACCCTAAAAAGGGGGTGCCCTGAATCACAGTTATGGTTTCTGGGCGACCAAGGTGAGGAGAGCGGATGCGTGAGACTTGGCTCTGTGGGGTTTTAGGGTTCAGGGGCTTCTAGGATGCCCAGTAGTGCCCTTGTTCCCTTTTTGGAGGGTTTAGGTTCCCTTATAAGCCCCTTTCAACAAAAAAGGGCACCCTTTTTGAGCCTAGGTTACTGGGCAGCCTAGGTTACTGGGCAGCCGAGGTTTCAGGGTTTAGGGTTGTTGGTATTTCGGGTTTAGGGTCTTTAGGGTTTCAGGTTTACTTGGCTCTGTGGGGTTTTGGGGTTCAGGGGTTTCAAGGGTTTAGGGTTGTTAGTATTTCGAGTTTAGGGTGTTTAGGGTTGTTAGTATTTCGGGTTTAGGGTGTTTAGGGTTTCAGGTTTACCTGGCTCTGTGGGGTTTTGGGGGTTTACTCGGTAGGCCCTTGGGACATGTCATATTTTGCTTTATTGGGTTTAACAGGATCATATCAAGGAATATTTTCAGCGGGTTTTACGGGTCATCCTAGCTTAGTATTTCGGGGACCCAGGATAGGAGAGTGGCAAGCCGTCATCACGCAAAGCGGTCGTCAACCCAACCACAGAAATGCATAAGGTACTGGGACCGTAGGAGCAACCCTAGGGTTTAGGGTTTAGGGTTTAGGGTTTAGGGTTTAGGTTATACCAGATATCAGCCTCTTTAAGTTGGGGCAAATGTCAGGCAAGCAAATTGGCGTCGGAAGTCACGTAGGGAATCGCGTAAATGTTCACGTAAATGAATTGGCTCCTGTAAGCAATCACGTAAAGATTCACGTAAATTTTCTATCACACAAAACTTTGTGATTGCTTACAGGAGCCAATTGATACAAAATCGCTTGGTTTTTAAGCCTTAGGCCCGGAGTGGGGGGTGGGGGGGGGAGGGGTGGTGCTGCAATTTAGGAGTTTAATGGCCGCTCTGGGGCGCCCATTAAACACAGGGTTGAGGGTTGAGGGTTTAATGACAATCGCCTGGCGGTGGTCATTAAACAAAAGGGTTTGGGGTTTAGGCGTTTCATGGCCATCGCCTGGCGGTGGTTATTAAACAAAAGGGTTTAGGGTTTAGGCGTTTAATGGCCATCGCCTGGCAGTGGCCATTAAACAGGGTGTCAGGGCTCTTAGACAACCTTGGGTTTAGATCTCGGGTTTGGGGCTCGGGTTTAGGGTTTAATGGCCATCGCCTGGCGGTGGTCATTAACAAGGTTGGAGGGCCTGCGCTTCGGGGCTGGGGTTTAGGGTTTCTAGGTGTTTTGGGGTTTAGGCTTCTAGGATCGCCTGACGGTGGTCATTAAACAGTGTCAGGGCTCTTAGCCAACCTTGGGTTTAGGTCTCGGGTTTAGGAATTTTGGGCTAAGCGGCTTAGGTTTAAGCACTGTTGCTCCATGTCGGCCGCGGTGCGGCTGCTTAGGCTTTAGGGGTTAGGTCCTCCAAGCCTGAACCCTTAAACCCCCTAAACCCACCTTAAAAGGGAAAGGGTTTAGGGTTTAATGACCATCGCCTGGTGGTGGTCATTAAAAAGGTTGGTTGGAGGGCTTGCGCTTCGGGGCTGGGTTTCAGGGTTTACGTCGTTTAGGGTTTAGGGTTTATGCAGGTGTGTTGCTCTAGGCTGGTGAAACTTGGCTGCGGAGCCACTTTTCGTGTATCTTGAAGAGTACAAAAAGGGTTGCCCCATCGCCTGGCGGTGGCCATTAAACAGGGTGTCAGGGCTCTTAGACAACCTTGGGTTTAGATCTCGGGTTTGGGGCTCGGGTTTAGGGTTTAATGGCCATCGCCTGGCGGTGGTCATTAACAAGGTTGGAGGGCCTACGCTTCGGGGCTGGGGTTTAGGGTTTCTAGGTGTTTTGGGGTTTAGGCTTCTAGGATTGCCTGACGGTGGTCATTAAACAGTGTCAGGGCTCTTAGCCAACCTTGGATTTAGGTCTCGGGTTTAGGAATTTTGGGCTCAGCGGCTTAGGTTTAAGCACTGTTGCTCCATGTCGGCCGCGGTGCGGCTGCTTAGGCTTTAGGGGTTAGGTCCTCCAACCCTGAACCCTTAAACCCCCTAAACCCACCTTAAAAGGGAAAGGGTTTAGGGTTTAATGACCATCGCCTGGCGGTGGTCATTAAAAAGGTTGGTTGGAGGGCTTGCGCTTCGGGGCTGGGTTTCAGGGTTTACGTCGTTTAGGGTTTAGGGTTTATGCAGGTGTGTTGCTCTAGGCTGGTGAAACTTGGCTGCGGAGCCACTTTTCGTGTACAAAAAGGGTTGCCCCAAAACCGTTTAAAACCGTTTTGGAGCGCCCCAGTGTGCCGGCAAAACCGTTTTAAAACCGTTTTTAATAGTTTTGAATAGTTTTGGATTTTTGACCCCATTTACGGTGCCCCAAAACCGTTTAAAGCCGTTTTGCAGCCACCCAAAAAAGCACCATATAGCAACTGCAATGTAACCATATGAATGCTTTACAACATCGTGATCATCGTGGCATAAATGGAAGTATGTGGTTATTCCAGATGAAACAGGAGGTGGTCTATGAAGAAACAATTTTACTTTCCTCTGAAAGTCGAGACTTTGGTTCTTCGACACAACGAGTTCTGAAACTACTTTTCTCTAATCAACAAATTCCATGGGTGCTACGTTTTACCCATAGTCTAAGAATCTTTTGGCCCGCGAAAGTGCGCCAAAGAATGCTGGCGGCCTTCGAAACGAAGGGATGCTCTACGGCGTTATTGAGCCAAAGGGCAACAGAAACCTTTGCGCCAGGCATGCGAAAAGCTGGAATCTCCAGCTCCAGGCGCGCTTTTGGCCCGCGAAAGTGCGCCAGGGGATGCTGGCGGCCTTCGAAACGAACGGATGCTCTACAGTGTTATAGAGCCAAAGGGCAACAGAAACCTGTGTGCCAGGCATGCAAAAAGCTGGAATCTCCAGCTCCAGGCGCGCTTTTGGCCCGCGAAAGTGCGCCAGGGGATGCTGGCGGCCTTCGAAACGAAGGGACGCTGTGTGGTGGCTCTACCTACACATAGAGCCAAAAGGCCACAGAAACCTCTGTGCCAGGCGTACGAAAAGCTGGAATCTCCAGCTCCAGGCGCGCTTTTGGCCCGCGAAAGTGTGCCAGGGGATGCCGGCGGCCTTCGAGACGAAGGGGTGCTCTACGGTGTTGTAGAGCCGAAGGGCAACAGAAACCTTTGTGCCAGGCCTGGGCCTGCAAACCCTGCGCTTCTTTTCGACTTGACCCTAACGATTTACGTGACTTCCGACGTCATTCACTACATAGGTTCCGACGTAATGCCCTACATACTTTTACATATCCTCAGTTAAAGAGGCTGATATCTGGTATAAGGTTTAGGGTTTAGGGTATTCGTGCCAGAGAGGTTGAACCAGGGCGCCTGTTGCCACACGAAATGCGACAACCCGCACAAGTGGGCTGGGTTCACACTCACCTACTCGAACTGCCAGGTCATCGAGGCTTAGCAGCCCAGTGGTGCCCTTTTTCCTTTTTGTTTGTATGTTTTTTTTTTTGGGGGGGGGGTTCAAGGTTCCCTTTTAAAGTAACCATTTCAAAAAAGGGGCCCTAAACCCTAAACCCTAAACCCTAAACCCTAAACCCTAAACCCTAAACCCTAAACCCTAAACCCTAAACCCTTGTCCTTAATCTAACATGGCTACTGGGCTACCAAGGAGGGCAAGTACGAGATTGACGGAAAGACGATGGCCACGGAGGACCTCATCTTCAACGGCTTTGACCTTCCCGACAGCAGTTATGTCTGCCGGGAGGCCGGGTTTCCAAGCTTTGTGAGGGCTTTGGGGTTTAGGGTTTAGGGTTTCGGGTTTAGGGTTTAGGGTTTAGGGTTCGACAATAGGCCAGAGAATTCTACAGTGCTTCGTTCGCCGCCCAAGAAGTACTGCAGAAGTGATGCGTTTGAAGAGCGACTTCAGTGCTGGTTGGGGGGGTTTAGGGTTTAGGGTTTAGGGTTAGGGTTCAGGGTTTAGGGTTCTCATGTGCAGCTCTTTCACCTCGGCTTTTGCCCTGACCCTAAGCTCCGAATGGGGGGGGGGGGGAAACAAACATCCTCAGGTCTGCGATATTGAAGGGTACAATCATCGCCATTCAGGAGTGACGGTGTTCCGCAGTGGTGGCGACAAGAGCTCCCAGCCCGTTTGTGCCTTCATCCATCTCAGGTAGTCTCTGTGGTTCAGCTGTACGGTGTGACGCATGCGCGAGGCGTGAAGGCGTCGTGAAGAAAACTGCGCTTGCTGGGGAGGATAGGCATGAACAGCGAAACATGTGTGCGTGTCATATGTATATGTATACAGAGTATCAGTGATCTGTATACGTATATAGATATGTATATGTACAACTACATACTCAATCCAAACGAACATATATTCAGTGTACATACGGTACATGTCTTAGTATTGTCCACATTCACATGTGTATATGTATGTATATATGTATCGAAAGATTGATCTTGGGTCTAGGGTTGCTCATGGCTGTCATGTAGGGTTTGGGTTTCAGGTGCTGAGTATGAAGCCTGTAAAGCTCTTGGGGTATTGCAACCCCTCTTTACACCCAAAGGTTAGGGTTTACTTTTATGGTTTGGGGTCATCTAGAAGTCCTCTTTGACTACAAAGGTTCGTCTCATTTCCCCAGTTTGTTCAGCCCCCTGGGAGTTCTGAGGGTAGTTTCATGGGCCCTTGATCTAGGGTTTAGGGTTTAGGGTTTAGGGTTTAGGGTTTAGGGTTTAGGGTTTAGGGTTTAGGGTTTAGGGTTTAGGGTTTAGGGTTTAGGGCGCCTCTTGTCTCTGCTTGGGGGGGTTGTTTGAACTTTCGGGAGAGTCATGGTTGAGAAGTGGAGTTTGGGGTTTGGGGGCTGAAGCCTCCGGATCAAGAAAGAGGGTAGCAGGTCGGAGGAGGCTTGGGGGCGGGGGGGCGGGGGGGGGGGGGGGGGGGGGGGGGGGGGGGGGGGGGGGAAGTTCAGAGTTTTGGGTTCAGACTTTACCACGGCATTGGGTTTGAATGGCTGCGTGGCGAGCCGCACAGCGGGATCATATGTCTAATTTAGGCCAGAAACCACAACTGCTCCTGGTCAGTGCCCTCACCTTTCGGGATATGCTTCTCACGAAGTTTGGGGAGGGGAGTGTGAGGGTGCATACTTTTGGGCAAAGTACAGCGCTTTACTTGGGCGAATATGGATGCCGTTGATACCCCGACCTAACCCTAAACCCTAAACTCTAATTATAGAACCCTATAGAACCCTATAGAACCCTATAGAACCCTAAACCCTAAAGCCTAAGTCCTAAACCCTAAACCCTAAACCCCAACTAATTAGCCTCGAATCCTGTGAGGACCGGCGAATGACGGCGCAAGAGCCATGGGCCAGCAAAAAAGCGACCCTCCCCTCACCCTCCCCCGAAGGGTTTGGGGTTTAGGGTTTAGGGTTTATTGTTTAGGGTAAAGGGTACTTTGTAACCCAATTGTAACTGCACTTATAACCTACTCATAGCCCTATTTTAGGGGCATTTAAGGGGCTGATACGTGGGTTATAACTACACTTACAATGGCTTGCGAAGTACCTGAACCTCCAAGTAAACTCAAACCCTGTCATCCTGTGGTGTTCCCCCTTATACTAGCAGCCCTTAATAGGGATTATAGTAGGGGGTACTAGAATCCCTATTAAGGACTGTTAGTATAAGGGGGAACATCCCAACCCTAATCCCTTAGAGTGAAACCTAACTCCCAGGGCCCTAGAGTAATCCCGTACCTGCACGTGCAGATGTGACCAAATCTTAGGTACATCCAACTGCGGTAACGGAGAATGTAGGGGTTGCTCGTGAGCTTGTTACTATTTGCTTAAGACCCCCCCATCAAACTCTTCATGTTAACTGCATTATAGGCACGATTATCTATGTTTTTTCGGGGTTCTTAGGCAAACAGTAGCTTAACGCCCGAACGCCCGAAACACTAAGGCTTAAATCCAACCTCTGCCAAGGCTGGCCCTCTCCCTCAAGGCAATACCCAGCCATTGAGGGTTTAGGGTTTAGGGTTTAGGGTTTAGGGTTTAGGGGCACTCGCTCTAGTATCTAGGACCCTCGCCCAGCAATCTCGAAGTTTTCGTGCACCGGTAGGGCGGGTAGGGGTTCAGGGTTGAGGGGAATCGGATCATATTTAGGAACATGTTTCAGCGGGTTTAAGTTTGCGGGCAGACCCTAAACCCTAACCCTAAACCCTAAACCCTAAACCCTAAACCCTAAACCCTTCAAATCGGGCAAACAATTCCCCAAAAAGACCCTAAAAGCCCTAAAGACCCTAAAAAACCCTGAGCCCACCAACACCCAGCAAAACCCTCAAAGCCCTCAATCTTAAGCCCACCTAAACCCACCTAAACCCACCTCCAGGAGGTTCGCTCAGCACGCCAGCCGAAGCTTTGTACGATTTGCCACTTCGAAGCCGACAGGCAACTGGGCTTTAGCGTTGAGGGGTTTAAGGGTTAAGGGTTTAAGGGTTTAGGGGTTTAGGGTTTAGGGCTAGGGTTTAGGGATGTTCCCCGACTGTTAGTAAAAGGGGGAACATCCAAACTTATAGGCCAGCTTGGGGCTTGAGCCTTGGGTTGAAGGTTGAGGGTTGAGGTAGGGTTTTGGGTTTTGGAGTTTAGGGTTTAGGGTTTTAGGGTTTAGCACAAGCCTTCCGGAATTGGCTTCAAAGTTCTTATGCCAATATAAGCCTCTATGACCCAATAGGGTCCCCCAACGTCACACCCGGCTAGGGTTTAGGGCCTTAGGGTTTAGGGCCTTAGGGTTTAGGGCCTTAGGGTTTAGGGTTTAGGGTTTAGGGTTTAGGGTTAGGGTTTAGGGCCTTAGGGTTTGGGGCCTTAGGGTTTAGGGCCTTAGGGTTTAGGGTCGATGGTTAGGATTGCCGTGCTGAGGCTTCAGGTGTTTGCGCGGTAATTCACATGTGTGCGCGTGTTCGGGGTCTTGAGGGGCTTGGGTATGAGGACCGAAGGGACTTCGCCTTGAGGAATTTTGGTCCCTCAAACCCGAAACCCTAAACCCTAAATCCTAAACCCTAAACCCCCATACCTTCTTTTAAGGGTTCTGAAGTACTGGACCTTGGACTGTATAGAGTATCTTAGAAGAGTTCCCCAATGGAGTGCTGACATTAAGGGACCGTGGTAGCTACTGGAATAAGGTTTACCTAAACTCTAAGCCCTAAACCCGGAACCCTAAACCTAAACCTAAACCCTGAACCCTGAACCCTGAACCCTGAACCCTAAACCCTAAACCCTAAACCTTAAACCCTAAACCCTAAACCCTAAACCCTAAACCCCAACACTTTTGCCCCTCCTGCCGGGACAATCGAACCTTGGCACTCTTCATTGCCACTTGGCCACTTAACTTGGCCAGGTGGGCCACAAGAGAGGGCCTTAGATTCCTTCTTGGAGGTTCAGGGTTTAGGGTTTAGGGTTTCAGGTAGTGATAGCTAGGGCTATAGTGAGGGTAACTATAGTTTGAATTACCCGTGAACCGCCAAGTACCTTAAACCCTAAATCTGTTTTTTGTTGTTTTTTTCGGAGGGCAGGTATAGAAGCAAAAGAACTCAAGCTTTGTTTAACTGCCAGCTGACTGGGGGGGGGGGGTGGTGGGGCTTCTGGAGTTTACCTTCATTGTAGTGCACTGCACGCTTAGGGTTTAGGGTTCCGTGGCAAATCTCAACACCCTTGAGCCCTACAACCTCAAAAGCCTAAACCGCTAAAACCCTACACCCCAAACACCAAACCCCCTAAGCCCTAAAACCCTAAACCCTAAAATCATAAACCCTAAACCCCACAAACCCTAAACCCTAGAAACCCTAATCCCTAACCACCCCCCCCCCCCCCCCCCCCCCCCCCCCAAAAAAAAGCACAAAAAAAGAGTCTAAACCCTTTGGGAATGTGGGCTCATGCAGATCCCAAGCTGTTTCATAACATTCGTTCAACACCCTAGTAGGCCCTGGACCCTATCAGACCCAACCCTTTACCGTTTAGGGTTTAGAGTCTAGGCCTAAACCCTAAATTCTAAACCCTAAACCCTAAACCCTAGACCCTAAACCCTAAACCCTAAACCGCGGTTCCGGGCCCTGAACCTTAAGCCCGAAACCCTCACCCGCCCTGTCAGGCCGGAAGTGTCTGCGCTGTGCGGGCACTTTGCCTGTAAGGCCGCGGGAGAGCGATTAGGGTTTGGGGTTTTTGGGTTTAGGGTTGAGCTTTTCAGTGCTGAGAGCTTGGTTGGGGATTTGTTGTCCTTGCGAAGCCCGCATCACTGCAGCTTGGGTAGCTGTGCCATGAGGGCCTGGACCCAGTGCAAAGCTTCATTTAGGGTTTAGGGTTTAGGGAGTAGGGTTTAGGGTTTATGAAGCAAAAAACAAGTCCCAAACCCCTGCCGGCATATATTCCAGCCTTTTGTTTGGATGCGTGCTTGCTTTCGCACATGCAAGAAGTACGCTCACAACATGACGTACATGTGGACCTTCACATTGGACGTATACGCATCTTTTCATACTTCCACCGACTCTCATTCACAGGTACAATAGCATAGTTTCTGAGTACCAAAGTATCTTAAAATACTAACATAGAATATTTTTTAACAATCCCATAATCACCATAAGAATATAGTATTAGTAATGTAGTAGCATAAGATCATAGCAAAGTGGCAGTACAAGAGTATACAGATGCATGCAGCTGGAAGGATGCTTGCATATGTGAAACGACCCCCTCACCGGGCGCCTGAACCCCCTAAACTCTAAACCTCTAACCCCAAACCCTAAACCGCCAAACCCTAGCCCTACACCCCCCAAAAGTCCCTGACCCCTAAACCCTAAACCCCAACCCTGAAGCCCTGTGCCCTAGGCCTGCTGGGGGAAGTGGTTGACAGAGAAGCTCGAATGCCCTGTCTGCAGATGCAAGGCTCTCCTGGGATTGGTTATCATCATATTTTCATGGGATTATCTTGTTATGTCAATATGTTACTGTATAATTATCTTTTGTATATCACCCTCTTAGTACATATTCTTATTATTTCATTGTATGAGCGCTTGCCAAAATCATGTTTCTTGAAGCCAGTACTATGGTGGACACGAGTTGTTGCGAACATCGGTAAACCATGGAAAGCGAGATGGGCCCCACCTAAAGCGATAACCGTAGTTTGCACA